CTCTGTGTTTGCACAAGCGTGTGTAACTGTGTGTGTGCATGTGCTCCCAGCAGCCTGTCCCCTTGGGACTTGCTGTCCTGTAGCGTGTGTGTGTGTGTGTGTGTGTGTGTGTGTGTGTGTGTGCGCTCTTGTGTTTGCATGCACGTGCATGCGTGTGTGCTCCCAGAAGCCCATTTTCCTGAGACACCCTCCCCTATTGTCTGTGTGTATTTGTGTGCGTGTGTACATGTGTGTGTGTTCCAGCTGCTGGCTCTTGAGGCCCTCTTCCCTATTGTCTGCGTGTGCATGTTCTTGTGTATATGAACATGTGTGCATGTGTGTGCAAGGCCCCAGCAGCCTGCTCTAGGGGACCCTCCCTCTATTGTCTGTATCTATGAGCGTGTGTGTGTGTGTGTGTGTGTGTGTGTCCCCAGCAGACCACTCAGGGGGGCCCTCCTCTACTATGTGTGCCTGTGTGTATGTGCGTGTGTTCGCGTGCACCCCACATCCCCAGCAGCCCGGTTTCGGGCTTCCCCTCCCCCAGCTGGCACTGGCAGCCTTGCCTGCTCTGTGCTGACCGTGGGTGCCATTGTCCGCAGCGAAGGGGAAGAAGAGCTGCAAAGGGGAGGCCAAGGGTCCGGTGTCCAAGGTCACGGGCAAGAAGATCACCAAGATCATCGGGCTGGGCAAGAAGAAGCCGTCCACCGACGAGCAGACCTCATCCGCTGAGGAGGACGTCCCTGCCTGCGGTAAGGCCTCTGGGAAGGTGGCAGGCATGGGGGCCAGTGCAGGCTAGTCCCTGCTCCTGTGACCCCTCGTGGTTAGTGCTGGGCATCCCTGAGTCCGACCCCCAGAGGCCGAGTGGAACCGGCCCAGGAGAGCCCTGGCTACAGCCTCACTGGGGCAGGGAGCCTGGTGCCCGGATGCCCAGATGGGTGGAGGAGCTTCCAGCCTGCAGGTTCATGATGCTGAGTGACGTGGGGTCCATCCCAGTTCACAGAGACCACAGGGGACAGAGAGAGCTACCCCTGGGGGTCACCCAGACTGCCCACCAGGCCTGCCTGCCTCTGAGCCACCCACCTATCTGTTAGCAGTTGAGTGTGGCCCTGGGGTACTTTAAGCTCCTTGAGGTGTGGCTAAACTGGGCCCACACCTAGCCCTCCAGGGGGAAGGCACGGCAGCCTGCGTTTGGCAAGTTGCCTGTGGAGTGGCCGGCCCTCCCACTGGTGCAGCCCCAGCGCCACACTTCCCAGAACCTTCCATCACTCCAGGTCAAGCGAGTGTCTCCTTCGCTGGCCGCCAGACTGCACCCAGGAGAGTGTGCCCGTGAAAGTGGCCGCTGAGACACCGGAGGCCACACTGGCTGGTCCCTCGGGCCCTGTGCCTCTGTCTGCAAGGAATGTGATGCCTTTGTCCTGTCTCCCGGCGGCAGGCTACCTGAACGTGCTGACCAACAGCCGCTGGCGGGAGCGCTGGTGCCGCCTGAGGGACAGCAAGCTGGTGCTGCACAAGGACCGGGCGGACCTCAAAGCTCACATGGTGTCCATCCCCCTCCGCGGCTGTGAGGTCGCACCGGGCCTGGACCCCAAGCACCCACTCGCCTTCCGGCTGCTCCGCAATGGGCAGGAGGTCGCCGTGCTGGAGGTACGGATGGTGCACCCGCCTGACACCCTAGGCCTTGCCTCTGCCCCCGTCCCTCCCTGTGGGTGAAGCTCGCCCCTCCATGTGCATAGAACCGCCTACCCTGTGGGAGGAGCCTGCTCCTCTGTGTGGGAGGAGCCCTCCC